TTCAAACTAACTCAGCGGGTTTAAAAATTAAAAACCCAAACCAAAAACTGAAAATGAAAAGTAGAAACTTAAAAACTAAAAACCAAAAACCAAAATCTAAAAATAAAAACTGAAACTAAAAACTAATGAAAAACAATCATCACCACAAATTTTGGTGAACTGATTTTATATCAAAATATTCTTTAAATTAAGACAAAACTCAATTATATAAATTTTTAATCATAAAAAGTTTCCGCGCTTTTCAAGCGCGGGTCAAAATCTAGTTTATAAATGTTCTTGAAAATTTATTGAGGATTTTGAAATTAAAATATTTATGTAATCTTATATGGTATATAGTTTAATCTGTAGATATATTTGTTATATTATTGAATGATTCTTTTTACTTATATGGTTTTAAAATCATGTATATCTTTTTATAATAAAAATGTTAAACTATTGATCATTAACTTTTAACATAATAATTTTAATAGTTTAGTTATTTATTCTCGTTTTTTTTTTTAAATTTAAAATATAACCTATACGAAAAAAATCTAAAGTTTAAATTTATAGCTAATTTGATTGTTTAATTTATTTAATAATATAAAATTAAAGAAAAATGATGGAGGATATATAAACTGTTATCAAATATTTATTATTAGAATCATTAAGTGTCATATATATATATATATATTAGTCATTTATGGTAATTCCGTAGGTTTCATTTATGGAAAGAAAATAAAATATTAATTATATCTAGGGGAACAATCATAAATGCTTCTATCATAAATATCATATCATATCATCATATCATATAATTTGACCAACGAATATATCTAGCTACATATAAAAATTGGATGTGGACCTACTTATTTTTCAATTGAATGTAATTGACTACCTAATTGAGTGACACCTAAGCATGGAGTCTTTTTTAATTATTACAAAATTGAGGTTACAATTTTTTAAATGTTTCTCCTTTAATATATAAGGGATTAGTTGTGCAATTGTATAACTTATTAACAAATAATAATTACTATCATTTCATTATTAAAATATACTAGGATGAGACCCGCGCCTTGCGCAGGGTGAGAGAAATGTTGAAATGATTTATTGATGAAACTATATTGGAATTTGCATTGTTAAAAAAATATTTTTTGAGGTGTATAAAACTGAAAAGTATACAAAACTGCAAATATCACATATAATTTTAGAGGAATGAATGTTGATATTTTTTTGTCGTGGTAGTAGTTTGTATTTGATAATGTGGCTAATAAAGTAAAGCATAGAAAAATATATTATAACATTATTTTAAAAACATAAATGCTTCCATAAGGAAAAACAGTAAATAAAAAAGCAACATAATATAATTAAACGACAATAGTAAAAAAAAAAGTGAAATTGAGCAGATCAATGATTCTTCTCTTCAATAGTTGTAGTATGGAATCTTAAAAAAAAAATAGTAAGAAAATAAGCGAGTATAATTATATAGTCAACCTAGTTATATATTCACCAATGAAATTGTATATATTACCTCATTCGGAAATGGTGGATATATGGAACATCATCAGGCTCAAAGCGAATTTTAAGAAATCCATCAATGGTTGTAAAATTATTCAATCCTCCTTATTATGATCCAAAAAATAATGACACCATAAAAAAATGTTATAATTACTAAATGTGTACGAATAAATAATGTAATTTATCAACACCCCAATCGATACGCCAAAACTGTAAAATATATAGAACAACAGGTGCATTGGTTGTGTTAAAAAAATGATCTGTAATATATTTATATGTTACATAATTTCAATATGTAAATATATAATTTAATTTTCCATATAAATTTAAAATATTTTTTGTGTATATGTATTTGAGTTTCTAAAAGATTTAAATTAATTATTTTTAAATAGTGAGTAAGGAGTAGATACGGTTTTTATGACAAAGATATTCGAATATAAATCAAATTTCCTTAAGTAGTACTTAATACTTATGTTATAAATTTTTAGAATAAAATAGGAAAATTTAGTGGAGGTTCGTATAAAATATATTTAAGATATCATATCAATTTTACATCCCTTTTTTCTCACAAATAATTGTTGTAATTAGTACAAAACTAAAATTATGTATGCACTATAAATGTTGAATCTTTGGAATGGAAATACTGGGAGTCATTCAAATATTTACATATCATTTACGTTGACAATAACTCGAATTATAAGGAAACATGGAGTTATTGATTCGGATGACAATCTCCTAACGCAACCAACACAATTACATTGACACTTCTCCAAGTAAAATTTTTGGGATATAATATACGATATAAAATTATAAATATGACAACTCAATAAACGAAATGTATAAACCATGTGAATAAAACATATTTATAAAAATGAACAAATTTTCTGCCATTGACGAACAACAACTATATACGTACCCGAGATGACTGTAAGCTTAACCAACCAAAGAAATTGACCAGAAGAAAAAAAAAACCAAACAAAGTATTTCGAACCTATTTTTTTCAACAAAGGCTACACAAACTAATACAATTATGCAATAAACTCTAACCAGAACATATCGTGGACAAAGATCCCAAAAAAAGACAATGGCACAAAGACAGTAAGTCCATAACCCTTGCAAACGAAAACCTTAAACAGCTTCCACAGCTCCACTTAATTGTTTCATGTCCTTCCCTAGTTTTGAAACTCTACAAAACATAAAGAGCGGTTGGAGAGCTCTTACCTCTGCAATTACAAATGAAGCTCGTGACGAAGAGCTCTTATCATACAGCTCCACCCTAAACCCAAATACATATACACAAAAAATATTTTAAATTTATATGGAAAATTAAATTATATATTTACATATTGAAATTATGTAACAAAAATATTTATCAATTACATCATCCAGGTTACTACCTACCTTTAAACATCCTTGAAAGCTATCGTCTCTCTACACTCCGACCACCGTCTGTATGAGATGCCCAATTACAGAACAGAGGACACGCGTTTAATCTTTCTCTGAAATCGGGGATTTTTATAACGGGTGAAAGACATTGGCCCACTACAATCCGACCACCGTCGGGGTGAGATAACTTTGAAGAACAGATGCTATACACATGCAATCACCGTCGGTATGAGATTCTCAAATTAAGAACAGGGGACAGGCTTCGAAGGTTTCTCTGCAAGTACATGCAATAACCGTCGGTATGAGATTCCTAATTCCATGAACAAAGTACACGCTTCGAAGGTTATCTGCAATTTGGAGAAGTTCAGGTGAAAGAAATCTACCACTACAATCCGACCATGAGAGAGGAATGGTGAGACTGTTGGATTCAATTATTTCGGAAATAGATGAGAGATTTAAGTCTGAATCGAGAAAAGAGAGAGATTAAACTATAAACATACGCAAGAGACATTATTATGCAAAAACTTTATAATATAAATGTTAGTCCAATGGCAATTGTAGTAAATTTCCTAGATGGAGGTGGGTACTTTTAAAAATGATCTCAGAAGCTCTGTGTGACTGACACATCACCATAATGGCAGCCTTGTAAATAAATAACCATTTAAAGGTTAGTCTTATTAGTTGCTTCCATTTTAATAATAAGGGGATATATATTTTTTAGATTTTTTATATATTGAAATTCTTTACAAATAACCAAAACCTAAACCAAAACTAAACCAAAAAAATAAATCTACCTTCAGCACCAGCATTAGTAGAAGGCAGAAGACTTTGTCCTCTTCATGTATCCCAGAATTTTATCTTATCGTCTAGAGATAAAACCTGACCTTTATCAAAAGACAGTAGAGAACCGATGTAGCAATGTCGCCATGGCTACCAAGTCTATCAACTGTTCCAGCTTTTAAATTGTACCTGACAAAACAAACTTTCAACCATTAAATCTTCATTTCGAATTATGTAATTGAAACACATGATACAGAATAAACCAAAAGATAAAGAGGTCCAAAGAGTTTGAAATTGTGATACCCCTATGGTAACGTGCATAACAACTGTGGAATAAATGCGGTACGGTTCAAATAGTAACAAAAACATATAAATACATACGTATATACACTGGCGGAGGCAGGACAATTATCCATAGAAGTCACAGTTAAACTACACTTAAAAAAGTTACTAAGGGTCAATTTTCTGTTTTGACTTATTTGGTCAAAAACGATATGTTTTATAAAATAATAATTTATAAAAGGTTTTGCATAGATGATTGCATCGACAAAGATGTAGTTGCAACATATCAATCAAACTTTTGGGGACCATGGTGGAACTACAATATGGTGCCACATGAGAAAAAGGATGCATGGTGGACAAGTTTTGTGGTAGATTCCATGCTTTTTGCTGTGATTTATAATTGATAGTGATATAACATCTGCTAATTTGTTACTTTTACTCGTGGTTTTCTTGTAGCAAAAATACTATTGGGATCCTCAACATCACAGTGAGGTTCGTGCTCATTGGGAAAAAATTCACCAAGACTCAATCAGAGACCTTGTGAGCAAGAGGAGGAGATCGGAAGCAAAAAAGAAGCCAGATTTCATTGGCCTAGCAGACTGGAACATGATGCTTGAGATTTGGGAGGAGGAGCCACACCAAAAGAGGAGCAAAACGAATTCAAAGAATGCCACTTCAAATCCAGATGGTTTAGGAACTCACCGTCATACTTCAGAATAAAAAAAGCACACTCGTATTGCTTATGACATGGTTAGTAAGTTTTTATTCAATCAGCTTTATTTTCTATAATAACATTTCTGATTTATTAACAGCTTTTACCATTGTTTGTTGTTAGACGGTTGAGGCTGGTGGAGTAGCACCTGCATTAACTGAGTTAGTGCGTAAGACCCACACTTTAAAAGATGGCACCTGCATTGACAAACGAGCAGAAGCTTATGTGAAGGCAGCTGAATCTCTTGCCTTGGAGCGATCAGAAAGTGCCACTGCCACCGGTGAAACTGCCTCCGCAACCTCCACCCAGCAGCTCAATGCTGCTTATATTGAAGTAAGAAGCTTATATTCTAACTCATATCCATCTTTATAGCATACTGCTTATATTGAAGTAAGAAGACTGTCTTGGTTATTCAAAACTCATGTCTTGTGTTCAATATACTTTCTTGTAGATGGCAACTAATACTAAAGGTAGAGTCTATGGACTTGGTTCACTTCAGTATGTTGATGCTGAACCCAAGGAGTCTCCGGCAGCTTCTCTATGTAGAAGTGTTGGGGTTGATGGACGATTGACCACTGTGGAGGGTGTTGTGACTGGGTTGAAGGATGATTTTTCTGGGTTGAAACAAAGCATCGACTTGCTGTTGAGGATGAATGGAGTGGATCCTGTTATGCATCAACCTATTCCGCGTGAGAGTGGTGCATCTGCTCCAAGTCCCCATTCTGATTCTAGCCGAGAACTTAACCAGCACTCTCCCACTCATTAGCACTTTAATCTATCCTAGGTATATTTTGTGTTTTCTTGTGCAATATTAATCTCTAACATCCTTAGATGTCTTTTGTAAAACATCATTAGGTGTCTATTGTAAAAACATCATTAGGTGTCTATTGTAAAAACATCATTAGATGTCTTGTAATTGAAGAACATCATTAGATGTCTTCTTTAATTTAAAACTGTAATGTTAATTTGAATGATTTAGCTAATTATGTTTTTATTTGTATAATTAATTATTCTTTTAAATTTAGCTTTTAAAAATTTAATAGAATACAATTTAAAATTTAATTAGAGAAAAAAGATAAATAAAAGTCTTAAACTTATGAAACTATAACTACAATTAAGTTTGTGGCTATCTATAGAAAAAAAACTACAGATTATTATGTGACAAATGTTGTTGCTAAAATAACTACATATTTAACCGTGGCTATTTGTTTCTACAATTCACAATTACGTTTGCGCGATTTGCAGACATTCTCCATAATTTATTTTGTAGCTTTCTGTGGGTTAAGCAACTACAAACGGGGTGTGGCAATTTGTCTCTCTCCTTCCACAACTATGTTTGTGACGATTTGTAGATAATCTCCATTATTTATTTTGTAGCTATTTGTGGGTTAAGTAATTACAAACTGGTTGTGGCAATTTGTGTCTCTCATTCTACAAAAATGTTTGTGTCTATTAGAAGATTTTTCTACTGCTAATCAGTGTGGCTCTTTTGTAGCAAAATATCCACGGAATGCATTTCAAACTATGGGTGGAAAATAGCCACAAATAATATTTGTGACCGAGTCGCGGAAACTCATCCATAAATAGCCACACTTTCCTAATAGCCACGAGTCCATAGTAAAATAGCCACAAATATTAGGCCATAGCTACAAAAAAAAAAATGTTGTGGCTATTTCCTATTTTCTTGTAGTCATCTTCTAGAGATTTTCCTTGGCAGAGCGATTTATAATCTCTTCAATATAATTGTTCTGAGTTGGACGTTGTATTGAACTCTTAGATCAGAGAATGATGAGGAAGTGAAGAAACGATTGTTTTACTTTTGATTGCTCGAACCCTGTTGATGACAAGATCATGTTGATTGCTTCGTTAGAGAAATTTCTCCAGGAGAGGAATGAGGATTAAGGTTGGTCGCTGGGAAAAACACAGTAGAGGCAGCAGAAGATTAATATGTCTATTTCCTTTTTATAGTCATTAGATAACTCCTAATATTATGAGAAATGTTAATATGACTATTTCCTAAACTGACTTGTTTAATGGAAACTTAGCACTAAACTATCTTTGAAGTTTACCCAATATTTAGCCTGCATATTAAATATATACAACAAACTATAAATAATAAGGGAATTCTTACCTTAGTTCAAATTTGATAATCATTTTTCAAATTTATCTTTGAATGATAATCATTTTTATGAATACCTTAAGTTTATTATGAAAAAAATAAAATTAATTCTTTTAAATCATTAGCTATTTAAAAATTATTTATAAAAATTTATAAATTTGATTCCACATCCTAAACACTAAATCTGAATCAAGAATCATTAAATCTTAAATTCAAATATTATGGTGTCTTTGTTTGAATGTATTTTTGGAAGGTGGTGTTCAACTTAATTAATTATTGTATTTCATACAATTTCTCTTAAATAATCTATTTGTACAATTAGAAAAGGTGAAAAGGCTAGGACCAGTGCATTCCTTTCGAAGAATGAAACGTTCATTTTTTCTTAACCTTTTTATGGATAATCAAATATAGATGAATCGCTGATATAGAAAAAACAAAGTAAAATAATATATGCGACTTTACTCGAACTGTGACATATAAATTAATGAGCCAAAACATTTTATTGAGAAAAGGTGTTGAATTTATTTTAAGAAATCAATATTAAGTTAGTTCAAAGATAAAATAAAATATAATGAACCAAAAAATAAATTATATATTTATGTGAAAATCTTGATATAATCTTTTTATAAATTAAATAAGTAGTTTTAAATATTAGTACATATCTCAACAACATAATGACGTGATATTTATATCTATCTATATATATAAAGAAGGGTTTTCCCTACTCCTAACTTGCCACGTCACTAAATAAAAGTCTCAGAACGTGACACGTGGCTTTCTTCAAGACGCGATATATGCATTTGTATGGGCTCCAAATATAACCAGCTTTCTTATATCCACTTCCAGCCCAGCCCATGAAGTCCAATCCGTAAATGAAATGATGCGTTCTCCGCTAGGGTTTCATGACTTTTCTTCTTCGCCTCTCAGAAACTTATGGCTATGGCGATTTTATCAGACGATGTTTCGTCTTCTTCGTCACATGAAGAGATGATACCGAAAGATATAGATTCAAAGATGCAACACAAGTCTAAGTCAGTTCTTTCTTGATTCAGTATGGCACTAAATCAACTCTTTGGTTCTGTCATCTACAAATTGCAATCGTCGCATTTTTATATTTAAGCTGCAAGATTCACTCACACACACACCTGTGCCAAAGGGGATAGCCGGGGACTAATGCCTCCTTCACGCTTCATGTGAGCCAAAGTGCATGCTATTCTCAGCTCCCTGATAAAAATACAGATTCATTTTACAAAAAGGTATAATAAGAAAGCACATATGGGAGAGGAAGACAGGACAAAATTTTAGGTTTCTCCACCAAGAATCGCTGCTAAAAATAAGCCATCAAGCTTCAGCGCCAGTTTGCAGTTCCAACACATTATTAATCTCACTCAAGAAGACAAAAAAAATCACCACATACACAGGCAAAAGCAACGAAAAGGGAAAACCTCTATCATGGATCGTGGAAGATCGTTTGTCCAGTGGAGCGCCAACGAACTTATGATCAAATCGACCGAACTTTAAAGACAACATTTTACAAATATCAATAGTTGACACAGAGCTCTGGTGAGTGGCAGAAAAAAGACTTAAACAGACACATAAAAAAAGGAGAGGTTATAGTAGAGTGTTGTTGTTACCTCTCTTTGATAAGGGGGAAACTCTTCATCACCAACCAAGTAAGATGTCTCGATGGATTTATCTAAAGAATCTTCTTGAGCATCCTGCATCACTGCATGATTTAATCATGTCATGTGAGGTAATCATCATGATAAGCTTTTCAATCCCACCTGTGCAACGAATCTGAAAAACAACATCAGCAACGAAACATCCAAAAAATACATGTAAAAAATCAGGACAGTCTAGAACTAACCGCGACCACGTACGTAGTAAACGCTGAACAGCACCAAGAGAACCTCCCAAACACGATGCAGAGGGAAAACTCTTCTTACAATCCTTATAAAATAGCCAAAGTAAAAAAAAAACATAACTACTTAATTTGCTAATAGCTAATTCGAATTTGTCTTTAATATGATTAGACACAAAATAGTCATAATCAATAAGAAAAAAAACAAAGCTTTGGCTAATTAAAATGTTTAAGATGAATTTGAGTGAGCACCACACACGTACGCGCTTGAGATCTCGATTGAAGATCTTGACCCTTGAGCTATTGGTCTGCTGAGACTCACCGCCACCGCCATAACCACCGTCTGTAGAGAAGGAGAGATATGCGAGGAAAGTGTGAGATTGGCTCCTAGGTTTTTCGAGTGCTCTCTTGAGAATTCCAATTCGTCCGTATAGTGAATTGATCCTCCGCATCTATAATCTCTGTTACTTAGCTTGCGCCAGGAAACGTCGTGGACAATGTTCTAGGTTTTGGTTTTGCAGACACGGTAGAGTTCTGTCTGGTTCTTTTTTTCATTTCGGTCCCTACTATTTATTTACATTCTTTAGTTCATCATTTACACTATATTTTGACACGTACATCCCCTTCCACATCAGTATAACATGTCCCAAATAAACATTAAATATAGACACCAAACTTTCAAACAATTTAATAAATTCAAAATCACTATATTAATATTTTATTTTTAATGAAACCAAAAAAAAATTCATTAATTTTTTTGTTAAAAAAATAATCATTTAGTGAAAATATATAATATAATTAATACAAATAAATTTATAATTATAATAATTATAATAAAATAATCATTTAGTGAAAATATATAATATAAATAAAAAACAAATAATTTATATTTATAATAAATAAAATTCATGAGAAAGAGGATAATTCAATTTACTCTATTAATCTTTATACATTTCATTAAATTTATACCAACGAAAATCAAAATAATGAATCTCACAGATTTTTGGTTTCCTTTTTAATACTCAATTTAAGGTTAATCTAGAATAAAAAATGATATAAAAATGATTAACAGTTATTACATATTTAAAATAATTTAAAAACCAAGAAATAAGAAGATATAAAAATAGACTAACTAAAATTTAATTATGTTATGTAATATAACTTGAGTTTAATGAAAAGTTTTTTTCCTGTATTTAATGAATAGTTTAATAAAGATTTAATAGTTAAGTAAAAGTCACAGAATACTTATACATATTCAAAATAAATAAAAAGGTTTATAAGTTCGGAAAAGTGAAAAATCTATTTTTCATATTGTTTTCCTTTACGTTTGATCAAATCTAAGGTTAAAGGGAAAAAAATTCACAAACTAAATTGTCTTTCTATTTTATGTAAATAAGATCAAATTTAGAATAATTATAAAAAAAGATTCAAACAGTAAACAGTGAGTAATAAATAACCAAACAATATTTTACAAAAAAGAATATTGAAAATAAAAAATAATGACACACAACAAATAAAGATACAAAACTCGAGACGATTCACAATACACAATAATTCTACGCAAAACACATACTGATAATCTATGACATACAAAAATTTGAATATTCAAATTTTTGAATTTCGAAAGAAAAAACAATAAATAATTAAAATAATTATAATCGATTATATTTTATATATCAAAACAACATACAAAAATATGATTAAAATTTCAACGAAAAACCCGGGCGTAGCCCGGGCTGGCCCTAGTATTCAATAAACAATTTTAATCCTGTGATATAGAACATTATTATGGTTTAATCTTTTCAAACCGATATAAATCAATTCTTAATACTTTCTTTGTATATTCTTAATATTATGATAATATTAAGTTAACTAAAAATAATAATAATAATAATAATAATAATAATAATAATAATAATAATAATAAGATTGTATCTGATTTCCATAAAAATATTAATTTCCTCCAAAAAGTTTTTTTTAAATTTGATAAGATATTTTTTATTAATCGGAAATTATAAAATCTATTTTTAATTTGTTTGGTTAATCTGGGTTATTCCAAAATTTTGGAAAGATCCACATTAACTCGAAATAAAGATGTTGTCAAAAAAATAACTTTCAAATAAAGATGCAGTTTACAAATAGATTCTATCTGTAGATATTAAACTGATTGTAGTAGATATTAAACTGATTGTAAGGAATACGTTTATATCTATGTAGCCCACATATGGAATAAGTAGTTTTGTACTGGAGAAATATTGATCATTGGCCTAAACTAACATAACAATTCCTCTTTCAATAGAATTTACTAGACCAAGGTCTATTATGAAAATAGTAAAATGAAAAGGATAAATCTCTGCTAAATTTTGCTTGCCTCTTTAAAGAGGCAAAGTTGCCACATGGCACGTTTGACATCATTCCGAATATCTTATCCTGAACGTTGCATGTTTCTTCTAGGGTGAGTATTAAATTTAGAACTTAGAAACATTGTCTTTTGTAAACTGCTTTAACTTAGAAAAAACATAACGAGTTGTTTTATCCTGACTTATATTTATGAAACTTTTGCATTTGCTTTTGTTGTTTCGGGTCAATGTAAATTTATTTATACTTAATTATCTTTCAGAAATAGATTGAGTGCCTTCGTTTAGAAAAAAGTAAGTGACTTCGGTACCCGTACGAAAAGTTTTGTTGTAAGAACACCCGCAATTGGTGTTACCTTTAAAGAATCTTTAGCTTTTGATTTTTTAATCATTATTTTTTTCAGATGAAAAATAAAATAAAAAATAAAAAAGTAAATATCAATCGATTGTGAACTGACACATGTCGTTGAGATCCACAAATAGTGTAGAAATTCGATAAGGATCAATTCTTATTTAAAAAAATTTAAATAATAATCTATAATTTTTTATAGAGTCAACTGATTATTTAATTATTTTTGCTCTAAAAATTTCTCTTAAAGATTTTCCATTGCATCTGTTTTAACGTCCCAATCATCCATCATCCGTGCCTGGTCATTCAATCTGTGGATTTTGTCCCATTTAATGGATGGCGTTTATTTTTTTTTGAATTTGCAATCTTTATTTGTTAACCATATAATCATCACATGTTGTATCTTCATGTTTTGGTCTCAATGGTAAATTATTTTTAGATAGATCATTTATTTTTAACTATTCTAACTCAAATACTATTAACTTTAGATTTTTTTCTAAATGTATTTAAAAATATAAACATACTTTAATAATATAGATAATCAAATTAATAATTTTTATATTTTCTATTATATTATAAACTGGGGTGTTATATTTTTACTACTTTATTCTGATGATGAAGCAGACATACAGTCAAATTTACTAAAGGTAATGACAAATTAACTATTTTGGAAGTTTGGAACGACAAGTTGTATTCTCTATTACGCCTACACGTTATGCATGCATGCGTTACTCATTTTCCTTTCACCGCAAAGCACGTATTACACGTTACTCATTTTCTTCCAACCTCCAATACAAATAGTCGATAGTAAAACGTGTCCAGTGAACCTTATATTTTTGGTGTCCAAGTTCAGTTTCATTATTTTTGGTGTCCAAGTTCAGTTTCATTTTTTTTTTTGAAATGTTCAGTTTCAATGTTGAGTTGTTAAAATCTAATTATATTTTATTTTGTTCGAATTTATAATAATTATCCAATTTAATTATCAAGATCACTTTAATATTATATTACAGAATACGTTTTTACAGATAATGATTAACCAGAGAAAGAAAAAATGGTAATGGTGCATTATCTTTAAGATTTTAACTATATATAACTCCCCACGAAATGGAATCAGAAATACAAACACACCCAAAAAAGGTAACCAATAATATTATTACTTATATTAATAATGGAGAACAAAGGGAAGAACATCGAACAAGCTCAAGAAAGTTGTTATCATCAGTGGATGAGTTTACAATCCCAACGCGTCCCTGAGCTTAAACAAGCCTTAGCTCAACGGCGCACTCACGAAGGCACCGCCGACGCTGCCGCCGATGATAACAAGCTCCGTGAATTAACACAAAACATCATTGGAGATTTCAAAAATTACGCTGGAAAAAGAGCTGATTTATCTCACCGATGTAGCTCGAACTATTATGCGCCGTCGTGGAACACTCCTTTAGAGAACGCTCTTATTTGGATGGGTGGTTGTAGACCTTCTTCTTTCTTTAGGCTCGTTTATGCTTTGTGTGGGTCCCAAACTGAGATTCGTGTTACTCAGTTTCTCCGCAACATCGACGGCTACGATTATTCAGGTAAGGGTTTGGACGTTTTTGGTTTTGAAAGTTTTTAAGAATGATTTAAGTTAAAAAAAAAAAATTATATCCAGTTATGCAAAATTTTGGATAGGTTTGGACAGGTGCATCTTATTCGTAAAATTTACAAATGAAAGTAACTGTATTTTTTTCGTTTGGTGTAGGAAAAGTTGATTGGTTTGGTATGGATCTGATTTCTCATATTTTCGTTTGTTAGAATTTGATGACCGATTTCAAAAACCAGTATCGGTTAGTTTTTCGATTTTAAAACTTATAGATATATTTGTAAAAGGCAAAAGTATATATAGATATTATGATTTAATACAGTTTATGTAGTTAGATTTTCTGACCAGTTTGAATTCTGCTGGAATCTAACCTGAGACTTGGTTTGGTTTCAGTATAAGAGGTGTAAAGTTGAAATTTAGTTAGGTTTGATTTAGTCTGTTCGATATAAACACCCGGTTTAGTTTTTAATAATCTGGTCAAGATTTATAACATAATTCCATCCCGTATATTACAGAAAATATTTGGTTTATTTTTTTTGTCGTAATCAAAATAATGTAACAAATCTATACTATTATTTGCGAAGTGATTTTTCGCAACGGAGCTCTCACGTTAAAAATTAGAGTGACTAATATCGTTTATACCCTTAAAGAATAAAAGATATAAATCAGCCAAAAATAAAAACGAATTTAATACTTATTTGATTATATAAATAATTTAGATTAATAATAATGATAAGAATTATCCATAATCTAAATATATATATTTTAGAAAAAGATAATTCATATATAGATATTGTGTTGTTATCCGGAAAATATCTTTTAATTAAAAAAATTCAAAAACTAAAAACACATAAATAAATATTCATAAAGTAAAATTTTTAATTGTATATGATTCAAAAAAGAAAATTGAAAATTTATAATACGTAATTATTTTCAAATTAAAAAAATATAATAATATAATATAATGATATATATATCTGTGAAGTTATTTTTCGCCTCTGAACTCACACGTTAAATTAAATTTATATTTATATTTTATATAGTTAAATCTTAAGAAAATACGTGTTTGACAAAAAGAATTTCAAATATATTGTATTATTATCTAAACTAATGTTATTCTTTCTGTAAGATCAGTTTTCGAATGTAAATTTATTGATTCAATTTTTCGAATTGAAAGATAGATTTCTATATTTGTATCAATTAAGAAGAAATGAAATAGATTTTAAATTTTTCAAGTTTTAAAGGAAAAAATATATTTTTTTAATTGTGAATAACTTTATCATGTAAAAAAGTTTAATGTTTTAGGCCGAATTTTTTGGATGCAAATAATCATTTCTTTTGATGATTTTTATAAATTGATTTAAAAATAATTAAACCCGCATGTGTGGGCAAAACACCTAGTAGATTTATACACATCATGTTTGTGGCTAAAAAAATATCTTTTTTCTTATTATTACAGAATTTTAGTTGGTATTTAATCCAGTTTGGTCTGGTTCAACAGGTAGCGATGGCGCATCACTTAGCGATCTAACGGCAGAGCAACTAGCAAAGATCAACGTGTTGCATGTAAAAATCATAGACGAAGAAGAGAAGATGACAAAGAAAGATTCGAGCCTGCAAGAGGACGCGGCGGATATACCCATCTCCACCGTGGCTTACGCAGAGGAGCACGTGGGAGAGCCTAACGCAATGGTGGATCAAGCTCTCGACAAGCAAGAAGAAGCTATGGCCACTTTATTGGCCGAGGCCGATAATCTAAGGGTAGATACTTTAACCAAGATCATAGAGATTCTGACGCCAGTGCAAGCGGGGGATTTTTTGATGGCCGGAAAAAAGCTTCATCTTTCAATGCATCAGTGGGGAGCGTTGAGAGATCAGCGCCGCCGTGAATGCATAATTGACGTTGGACATGATGCCGGAGGAGAGGAGGAGAAGTAGTCGTCTCTATAGTAGAGATGGTATTATATTATAGGTATGCACGTGTCAAATACGAGATCGTATAATAACAAGATTTTATAATCTTGCAATTACAAGGTTTTAATTTATGACATAGTTTAGGGATATATATAATCCTTATATGCTAGTTTTATTTCCGAAAACTTATCTCATCATTGTGCAATGCGCTTGAATTATATTGATAATATATATTTTATAGTTTTGTTTTATATCCCCTATATATTATTTGTGAAGTGATTTTGCCACATGTCCTCTCTAGAATCAGTTTCACAAAAAAAATGGTGACATGTCTATTAAAATTGATGACATGGCATATGATTAAATATGACATGGACAATTGCATTTAATGTTAATATATATTTTTGGAAAACTTTATAGAATATGCTAACAACTAATATATTACATTTTATGTCGATTTATATTTGTGGAAATATTTTTAAAATATGATAATAACTAATAAATCATCATTAAAATAAATATATACCAATATATACCAATATGTCTATTAGAATTGATGACATGACATATGATTAAATATGACATGGACAATTGCATTTAATGTTAATATATATTTTTGGAAAACTTTATAGAATATGGTAACAACTCATATATTACATTTAATGTCGATTTATATTTTTGGAAATATTTTTAAAATATAGTAATAACTAATAAATCATCATTAAAATAAATATATACTAATATGGCATTAAAAATTTCGAAAATATCATTTAATTATATATTTTAAAACGATACAATTTTATTACAAAAAATTCAAAAATGTATACATTTTGTGAAAATTATTAAAATTTAATCCTAAAATTATTAATTTCTATATATTTAAAAATTTAATAAATACTGTCTAATTTTAATTTTTGATTATTATAAAATTTTCTACAAATTTATTTAATATATTTAATTAAAATAAATAGATTAAAAAATTATCTAAGATTATAATTTTAAATATATACATGCATATTCTTAAGAGTAATTTAGCTCAATATACCAAAAGAAGTAGATATTTAGGGATTTGCCATATTTTAGGGGGAAAAAGTAGTAATGGGGGAAGGAAAGAGAAGAGACAAATAGGGTATGGAGCTAAATAAGGTGTTTTGTATGTGTATGGAGTGCAAATACTCTATTTTTAAATCTAATTTAAAATAAAAAAAAATATTTTTATATTACTTTTTATGTCTGATTAAACAAAAATTTGTATTAAAATAGTGATAAGAAAAAAAACTCATAAATTATCATTAAGATAATAAATAATATAATAGTAGAAATATAAATATAATAATATTACAAATATTGAAATAATTTTAAGTGTATTTTTTAATTATATATTTTTTATTAATAAATTTTCTTTTTCAAAATTTATGCAGTATTTTTTAAAATTAAAATTTTCAAATCCCAATACCATTAGTTTTATTTATAACATCTAGAAATTTTAGAAATATTATTTAGTTTTATATTTTGAAAATTATATATCTAACAAAATTTTCTCTTAATAGTATAGAATCTGATTTAATATAATTTAACCAAAAGATAAAAGATACATATATATTATTAAATATAAGTTTAAGAAATTTTTTTTAAGATAGACCTAAAAAAAAGTTTTAATCACAAATATAAACCTTAAAATAAAAATGACCAAGATAGATTTAAATGTTTTATCAAAAATAAGTAAATATACACTTATATCTTTTGGGTTAAGTAATAGTAAACATTTTTGTTTACAGTTGAGGAGTGGGGTTTTGGGGATATGATTACAAATTTTTTTTTTTTTAAAAGTTGAAATTTTCAAAATAAAAAATGATGTTTTGGTCATTTTAGTTTTAAGATCTATTTTTGTGAAAAACCCTAAAAAATTCTATTTGAGAGAATTGTCATATATTTAAATAAAACTGTTTATTTTCTCTTAATTTTTACATATAATTAATATAAATTAATAATGTAATAAAATAATAAATTTAAAAATTAATTAAACTTTATTTTTAAATATAAATTTATTTTTAAAATTTTTATTTCTGCACATGGTGCAGGAAGCCACCTAGTATCTCTATATAGATATATGTATCTTTGTACTTAATTGAGGGGGTGATATTTATAAATATATTATTATTTGTTTGTTGCTTCGTGCAGACTAATTGTTTTTTTGAAGACAACATTATAAGCTTATGTTTGAGTATTTAGTAACATGTAATTTTCAATAACATTATAATTAGATTTTCAGTATTTTAAAAACATGCAATTTTCTTTTCTCCTCAGAGTGACAGTACTCTTCGATGCATGTACAACTTTGAGTAATGGCACCCTGGGACGACAAATGGTTGGAGAAATTGATATTGGTGTGTTAACCTGGCAGCAATACGTTGTCTCTCGACAAGTCAGCTAGGATAAGATTCCATTAGCTTTTATGCTTTAATATTTATTGTGTGTTAGAAACAGAGAAATTCCATTCCTTATACAAACATAATTTGATAATTTGCATTAATGGATTTCTACCTTTTATATATATGTATTCCTTTTTAATCACCAATATACCTTTATTATTCTTATGATATAACCTAAAACCTAACTCATATATTATATATAGGACCCATATATGTATATATCTTTGGAGAATTTTAATTATACCACTTTGTTGGTACCACTTTTCATGTTTACCACTAACAAATGAACATTTTTAAAAATATACATTTTATTAAAGAATAAAAAACTTTTATATCTTTGTTCTTTATATATATACATAAAATAAATATTAAATAAAATACTAACCCTAAATCCTAAAATATCAAGTATAAACTCTAGAACCTAAAAAGTAAACCCTAAACCCTAAAAATCAACCCTAAACTCTAGAAGATAAATTCTAAACCTTAAACCCTAAATTCTAAATCCTAAAAAGTAAACCCTAAACCCTAAAAAATCAACACTAAACCCTAAACTATCAATCCTAAACCCAAAACCCAAAACCCTAAACCCTAAATTCTAATAGTATTTTGACTATTAAAATTTTAGTGGTAAAATTGATTAGTGTAAAGTTGAAAAGTGATATCTTGAAAGTGTTATTTCTGGCAATTTTCCATACATCTTGTATGACAAGAGTCGTCAGAAGAGAGAAAATAATTATTGTTTTTACTATAACCGATATAGAAAAGATTCTACACATTTTATTTTTCTAAAATTATTTCTCTTCTCATTATCATCAACAGTATTATTTATGTTAATGATCTACCAATTAAGCTCTAAGTCAGTCACCATAGATGGTAAATAAGATATATTAAACTTTTAGACCACTTTTGAAATTTGTATTCGAAAAATAATTTCAACACAAAAATATTTTCCTAAATGCGTTAGTATAATGTTGAATATTTTTCCTTATTTGTTTCTTTGATAATAAAATGATATGGATATTTATAAAGAAAATGTACTAAAACTATATTCAAAATAAAGCTATATGTTCCTATCTATTGTATTAAAACAACAGCATAACCAGTTGATAAAGATTCAGTCCAATTATTTTTTATTCATGTCTATTTTTTGTATATTAATAACTGTTGGGTTTATACTTTATAAAATCACCTGTTTCCATAACTATATTTTTTTGTATATCTATATTTAACTTTCACTTTGTTTCCACAATTCTCGGGACCCACTAATCTGAAATTCAATAGTTTCGTATTTTACTAATTTTTGTTTTAATATTTTTATTTAAAAATCTATGTTTGAAATATTTTTTCTACTATGGTTTATTTAATAAAAAAAAAATTAAGTTTAATAAAAAAAGTTTATTAACTTTTTAAGAATTTTTAAGAATTATTGAAACGGTACCTCGACCGCCTATGTATAGAGAGAATAGTCATCCAAATTTAGCTTTAAAAGTTGCTGACCTACTTCTGCAGGGGTCTAACCAATGGAACATTGATCTGTTACATCAGACCTTTTCACCTGAAGATGTTAAAAGAATTTTACTCTTGAAACCATCATTGGGACGGGTTGATTCGATCATGTGGGGTTTCACATCTACTGGAATGTATTCAACGCGTAGTGGGTATAAGTTGCTGGAGAATTTAGTGGACTATGAACAACCTCATGGTAACTCCCTCGCCCCTATTGAGAAACAATTGTGGAGAGATCTATGGAAAATCAAGGCACCGCCAAAAATTAAGCATTTTATGTGGCGTGCTCTATCCGGTGCTTTAGCGGTGAAGCAACGTTTGAATACTCGTGGTATTCCTATTGATCCAACATGTTCTATTTGTGGTAATGGTGTAGAGAATATATGTCATGCGCTTTTTACCTGTGCTAAAGCGCGAACCACATGGGAGCTTTCTAATTTTCCGGTCCCTATAGGAGGTTTTTCTCGGGATTCCACCTTTTTAAACTTTGTGCATCTGATCAAGATTTCTAGGACCCAGTCGACCGACATCCACACAAGAAAAGTTTTTCCATGGCTGATATGGAGAATATGGAAGGCTAGAAATACTTTTGTCTTCGAAAACAAGGTGGTTGATGCCTCTTATACTGCAAAAAAAGCTTATGAAGAGGAATCCACATGGTGTGATACATTCACAGGTCCGAAGGATGTAGTGGAAAAAGTGGATACCAATTTGATAGAATGGAAGAAACCACCCAGTGGTTTCCTCAAATGTAATGTTGGTTCTTCTTGGATAAATTCAAATCATCCTAGTGGTGCTTCTTAGATTTTACGTGATGCTACTGGGCGTACAATCATGCATAGTCGCCGCGCGTATTCGTGCATGCGCACAAAAACAGAGGCTGATTTGTGGGCTCTCTTTTGGGCGGTGGAATGTTTACACAATCTTCACTTTTCAGATATTATTTTTGAAACGGCTTCGGAGAGTCAACGAGATGCCCTCATGAGCCAGGACGAGCACCAGAGCTTCAGCCATATACGACATAGTATCACTTACCTGCTGGCAAGTNCGCGTATTCGTGCATGCGCACAAAAACAGAGGCTGATT